ACATTAAATTTAATGATACGTATGTAATGATATGCATAATCACCGTAATTGCTCAACTAGATAGGAGGAGCTGCAGAGACAAATTCCACCAGCGTCACAAATCAGCTGATTCTGATGGGCACTCATTCTCTTACTCTAGTACCCAAAGGACGAAGCCCCAGGTCTGATGGAACAACTCACTTACTCACGTTTCCTTCCACAGCCTGGAAACACAGCAGGGAAGGTGAAGTAAAGTCTCGGTGGCCAGCTGGCTTTGTGGCACATCAGGTTAAGCCACCAGTCGCTACACTGGCATTCCATATCAGTGCCAGTGTGAGTCCTGGATACTCCACTTGTGATCCAGTTTTCTGCTAATGCTTCCGAAAAGACAGCAGGAAATGACTCAAGTACGTGGGCCCCTGACACATCTGAGGGAGACCAGGAAGGTGTTCCTGACTCCTGGTTTTGGCCTGGTTTAGGCCTGGTTGTCGCAGCTATTTGGAGAGTGAACCAGCAGGTGGAAGATCTGTCTCTGTCTCTCTTTCAACTAAATAATTAAATAAATCTTTGAAAGAAAAGGAAAAAAAAAAGAGTATCCTCACACAATTCTTGCTGAGAGGCTCAAACAAGATACATGGAGGCTTTAGCACCTGACAAAGTCAGAACCAATTTGTTGGCTGGAAAGACTGGGTGTTTGTGTTGCGAAATGAAAGAGAGTGACACGGCAACATGGAAGAGTCTCTGAAATTCACTTCTAGTGCATTCCACTTTGCTTTCCTATCATCTGGGGCCCAAGGAAGGAGGAAAGCTGAGGAGCATGAAGACACTGGGTCCCTACAGTAAAAGGAAGCATAGAAGCATAAATTAGGAAAGGTGTGACCTCCCCTCCTCCCCCAGCATTTCTAGAAAAAACCAATTTCTTCATCCAGTACTTGCATCAAGGACAGGACCCACTCTCCCCTCCCCTCCTTCCAGAGCCCGTTCATCCTGCCCCGCCCCCTCCCCAAATCCATTCACAGTTGGGTGAGCCCGTAATGGGGATAAGATGGGCAAAGGCCTGCCTTTGTGATCCCACCGAGAGCCCAAGGGTGTTCAGGACTGTCTGTTGTTTTGATTGCAGGGGGAGAGGGATAAGAATGTTTATAGTCTGCTTAGGATCTTTGCTTAAGTGTAAACTACACCCAGGAGGAATGTGAGGATGCATTCCAAACTGGGAATACATAAAACTTCCAGCCAACTGTAATCATTCAGGACGTAAGAAAAATTTCCACCCACTCTGTGTTGTAAATGGCCCACTGATATTCTTCCCTAAAGGCAAACAATGGTGACACTTCTACCAAGGTGTACTGATGATCTAGTCCTGTATCATGGACAATACACATTCAGATCAACTCATATCTACCCCTATCTGCTTCTGAAGGCCTTATGATTGCCGTGAGTAATCACCTCTTTACGAGCTACACAGGGCAAGCAAGCGCCAGTCAAATCAAAGGGCTGAGTTAATCATGAGCAGAACTTGTGAGGCCTTCTTGTGGATAGAAAACCCTTTTTCTTAAATAACAGAAATAATGGCTTTGAAATGACTTTTCTGAAAAATTAAAATAGTGCATGAAATGTAAAGCTTACATAGAAAGAAGTTGCTATAGGATAATCATTCTGTGTTACCATACTATGGGATTGACTAGTATAAAACAGCGCACATTACTAAGACTATGCTAGCAAACCGTGCAATGAAAGTTCATTTATCCAGTTGTGACATGTTGTTTTCATAGAGTAAATCAGTTACAGACCGCTGTGCCTTAAGTTCATTTTGGAGAGCAGGCTCAAAGTAGGCCGATCCATTAGTAAGCCTTCACTCTGCCACTGATACCACACACACACACACACACACACACACACTGTATGCAAGGAGCCTTTCTTATGGAGGATCTAAATACAAAGTCTGATCTGCTAACAGGTCTGTATCAACTTCCACAGTAAAACTGGCATTAGGAGGCAGAAGTGATAATGCCTTCTGTCTTAACCAATCTCTGCCATGCTTTTTGCTCTGTGTTTTAAAGCTCAGGGTGGTGGTAGAGGTGGGGTGGGGAGAACAAACACTTTCTTTGAAATCAGGTTTCACGAACATTCTGATTTATGGTCTTGCTTCTTCCACTAAGCAGAGCTCTGACTCTGGACAAATCTATTAATGCCTCTGTGGTTTGGTTTGCTTGTGTATAAAATAAAGGATTGTTCTTTGGCCACTTGGGATGCTACATCAAAATCCACACTATAGGTCATGAAATCAGTGGCTCCCTCTTCCTATATCTACCTATGGAACTGGATACTTTTAAAATACACCCTTAAATTATTTGATACACCAACTTTTCAAAGGGCCTCTCTGCAATTTATGGTTGCCTTCATGAACTGACGCAGCACAAGTGACCTTGTGTGACCTCGAAGGATAGATCCTCCATCTGCCCTGACCACCTTCCCTTCTCCCTTAGGAGCCCTGGGCCACCATGTCAGGCTCCCAGCCACTCTGGAGCTGCTATAATGCAGAAAGCCACATGAAAAGCCTACACAGAAGCAGAGAGAAAAGGAATCCCAAGGAACGTCAGCTGTTTGAATCTTCCATCCCCGGTGACTGATACATGAGTGAAGAAGCTGTTGACATTTTGCCAGGCTAACCACCACAAAAACAGAGACAATAAGTGATTGTTGTTACTTTAAGCCATAGCTTTCATAGTGATCAGTCACGCAGCCACAGTAACTAGAAGAGGAACTAGAATGCAATCCGAACTAGAGGACAAAGCAATATCCCTAACCCCTAGGGTCAAATAAGAAACACTTCAGCAGCCACAGTAGTCACAAAGGCTGCAGGAACGACGAAGGATGGGTACCATTCAATAAATGCAGGGAAGAATAATTCTAAAACAACCATCTTTTTTGCTTCCAAACTGGGTGAACTTTATGGGAATTTGACCACATTCTTAATTAAAAGAAATACAGTAAGACTGACTCAGAGCCGGCGCCGCGGCTCACTAGGCTAATCCTCCACCTTGCGGCGCCAGCACACCGGGTTCTAGTCCCGGTCGGGGCGCCGGATTCTGTCCCGGTTGCCCCTCTTCCAGGCCAGCTCTCTGCTGTGGCCCAGGAGTGCAGTGGAGGATGGCCCAAGTGCTTGGGCCCTGCACCCCGTGGGAGACCAGGAGAAGCACCTGGCTCCTGCCTTTGGATCAGCGCGGTGCGCCGGCTGCGGCGGCCATTGGAGGGTGAACCAACGGAAAAGGAAGACCTTTCTGTCTCTCTCTCTCTCTCACTGTCCACTCTGCCTGTCAAAAAAAAAAACAAAAAAAAAAACAAAAGACTGACTCAGAGTGCAAGCATGGAAAAGAGCAGCGACGTCCGAGGTAAAGATATCCCGCAGTCCTTCCTTTGGAGGCACGGACACCACGGGCTGTGGCTTTCAACCTCACGTCTTTCTCAACTGGCTGTATGAGTGTCTCCCCAAACACAACTTTTTAAATAAGAAGAGCTACAGTGCACGTAGGAAAAGGGACACTTGTCAATGGACCAGGGAGTCCTGCATCCCAATAAACCTGATCCAAGGAGATGCTCAGGAGATGGCAAAGGGTGTGGCCTCCAGGCAGAATCCAGCCAGTAACCCATGGTTTGCTTTTTCGTGGCCACCCCCTTATTGCTTCCAAACAGGAACCTTCACAGGTAACACCTAGATTGCTCACTTCTCCCGAAGCCTGAGAGATCTGGCAACCCTGGTGTGCTTTCCCCCCGGTCTCAATCAGCTGCAGCTGACAAGCTCCTTCTCCATCTAGACAGAACACGAGCTCTCTATTTGTGCTGATGTCGCTCATGTACGTTACAGTCCTGGTCCCCACAAACATTTGAGTTTGTGTCTCGTGACCTACACCAATAGATAACTTCAGGCTCCAAATCCCCAGTTGTCTCTTTGTCACTAAAGATATGAAATTCTTGGTGATTTGGAAAGTCCATTAAATTCTGCTGTTCTACTCTTCTCACAAACCTGTATACCTAATAGTTATATCAACCATGTTACAGCACTGCTATGAATATTGGAGTGCTAAGCTTTCCTTCAAAAATAGGCACTAAGGTAGGGGCCAGCACTGTGGTGCTGCTTTGAGTTCCCACTGCTCTGCTTCCAATTCAGCTCCCTGCTAATGCCTGGGAGAGCAGCAGAAGATGGCCCAGTTCCCTGGACCCCTGCTACCACATGGGAGACCTGGAAGATGCTCCTGGCCATTTTTTTTTTAACAGGCAGAGTGGACAGTGAGAGAGAGAGACAGAGAGAAAGGTCTTCCTTTGCCGTTGGTTCACCCTCCAATGGCCACTGCAGCCAGCGTGCTGCGGCCAGCACACCGTGCTGATCCAATGGCAGGAGCCAGGTACTTCTCCTGGTCTCCCATGGGGTGCAGGGCCCAAGCACTTGGGCCATCCTCCATTGCACTCCCTGGCCACAGCAGAGGGCTGGCCTGGAAGTGGGGCAACCAGGACAGAATCCGGCGCCCCGACCGGGACTAGAACCTGGTGTGCCGGCGCCGCAGGCAGAGGATTAGCCTAGTGAGCCGTTGCGCCGGCCTGGCCTGGCCATTTGGGGAGTGAACCAGTTGATGGAAGACTCCTGTCTCTCTAACTGTCTTCTGAATAAACAAAGAAACAAACAAACAAATAACCATTTTTTAAAATGCACTAAGCTTATTTGATACATCCCTAATTACCTTTAAAATACATACTATGCCCATACACATATCTAACAGTCCCAGCCCAAATTCACATGGAAAAGAACTGTCAGTCAGCTCTAGGATTAGGATGCAGGACAATGGAACAAAGAGATCTATGTTTTGTAAAGTAAAACAACTTATCACTTACCACAGAACATCCTCCAGGCAATTTCTTGTGACTTAATCAGGTACTGATGGCCCTTGTTCAGAGTTCAAGACCAGCATTTTCAAGGATGTGTGGCTGAGCGCGTGTGTTAGAGAAAACAAAACCAAACAACTCACCAACTCCAGACATTGTCTGTGGCCATAGGCAGCAGCGTAATGGATGCTATTGTAACCTTCCTTGTCCCGAATGGATGGGTTTGCATCATTTTGAAGCAGAAACTCTAAACATCTGTAAGTAGAAAGATGGGGTTTATTTTAGAAAACATCTCTGAATAGAACGGTATAATTAATGTAAATCCTCCTGTTGTGAGCATTCTACAAAGCACTTTATGAGTTTATGTGTTTCTTTAAAAATCCTACAGCAAAGGAGTTTTATAGGCTGGAAGGTATGTGTGTGTGTGTGTATGTGTGTGTTCTGTAGCTATCTTTATTTCAGCTTAAAATAGCCATTTTAGAATTCAGGAAAAGCTTTAAAAACGAGAGAGTAATTAGGCTATTTTTTGTCTTTCTTATCTTATAGTGCAGAGCACGTCTGTCATCTAGATTACTGAACGGTAAGTTTTATATCACCACGTTCAAAGGTGGGGTCTCACTCTAATAAAGAGGTGGTCAAGCCACGGCACCAGGGCCGACCTGACAGAGGGGGATTTATTTTTAAGTTCACTATTGGAGACTCTAAAATCAAAAGGTTAGAAAATGAAAGTAAGCAGAAAAAAGCCAAAGAACCTAAGAATAATCCAAGTAACGAAAAGATTAAAGAAATGATTAAGTAGTTGAAAAATAACAAGGATTAATCGAGTAACCAGAAGATACAACAATTGCATCATAAGGAAAATCGACTAGAATAAAATAATTAATTTTCAAAGCCTTTGCTGGGGCCGACACTGTGGAGTAGTAGCTTAATCCTCCGCCTGCGGCACTGGCATCCCATATGGACGCCTGTTCATATCCCAGGTGCTCCTCTTCTAATCCAGCTCCCTGCTGATGGCCTGGGAAAGGAGTGGAAGATGGCTCAAGTGCTTGGGTCCCCACACCCACGTGGGAGACCCGAAAGAAGCTCCAGGCTCCTGGTTTAGGATAGGCGCAGCTCCAGCTGTTGGAGCCATTTGGGGAATGAACCAGTGGATGGAAGACCTCTCTCTGTCTCTACCTCTCTCTGTCTGTAACTTTGCCTCTCAAATAAATAAATTAAAAAAAAAAAAAATAAAAGCCTTTGCTGACATAGCTGTGATGTTTTGAAAAGTCTGAAGTCTTTGGAAAAAGCGTAGCTCTAACCTTGCTGAAGAGCCTTAATTCCAGACCCATGTGCTCAGGGGTGGGACAAGTTCTGTTCAGGGCCTAATACAAATGATTCACTCCTGCTGGTAAAAGAAGGAATAACCAGGAAGCAAGCAACACTGTTAGATTACCTCTCTGACAGTGGGGCACACATGTCCTTTAGGCGGCCAAGCTAATCCCTTTGATTCATATTCAAAACTCCAATGTTCTAAATATAAGCCTATATGTTAAATAACACCCTCCAGTAGAAAATTTCTATAATTTATGCAAATATAAAAATAGTGTTTACCTATCTTCTGGTATAAGGTGAAAGGGATAAATAAGTCCCACAATTAAAATAGATATTCTAATATCATATGATTTATCTATAATGAGCTCCATAATAAATCAAACATATACTAGAATGCTGCTGTCATGCCATCTTTGGTCATTTGTACTTTATAAGGAAGTCTTTTTTTTTTTTTTTTGGTAATTAAATGCCATGGACAGGATCCTAGTGTGACTCACTGAAGTCAGCTCTTTAAATCAAATCATCAATAGGAACAACACACAATCAACTTCTGAATGGATTACAAACACCATTTGATAAAAATTAAATTTGTAATTTAGAACTGAACTATATTATCAACGCTACTATCAGAGTAACAACAGTACTATGGAACTGGATATTCTCCATCTTGTTTCTAAGGAAAAAAGTCCCACGTGTTCACTGGGAATGTTTATCTTTTCTCTTCCCAGGGTCCTGACTAGCAAATCTAGCACTTCAGATGCAGAATCAACAGATGCACACGAGGTCAGGGCTGTGTCTGGACAAGAGAAGCAGCTTCCCTTCCATAGAAGAGCTCTCGGTGCACCTGGTTCCCTGCTGTTCCCCTACCTGATCCCTGCCTTTCCATCACCCTAAGGGGGCCGGTCTTCCCAGAGCAAGCCCTCAGTTCAGTGGAGAACAGCGTATTCACATGGCTTAAAATTCTACATTTTAAAAAAAATATCATGATTGTAGATTTTGGCATATTACTAGGGTTAGTTAGTCACTCCGCTGCACTTACAGGTGTGTTTCCTGTCCCTGCCTGGAGACACTCCCAGTTATGTCCTGCAACCTAAACCACAGCCCTACCCTCTACCTGCTGTGGATGTCAGGGGAGCCCACTGGGAGGGGGAAGACCCCACAGTGGACACAAGCATTCAGGTCACAGAGACACTGGTTCCTGTGGCAACTAGGGAACAGCACACACAAGTTAAGAACACTGTGCCCTGCAGACTCCTGGAGCACTGAACCAAACACACTGGGTCCCAACGGAAGGGGCACAGAGAGTGAGGACCACTTTGCTTGTTCATTTATGCAGCAAATAGTCACTGTATGTCAACTATGTGCCAGGCACTGCACTGGGCATGGAGAGCTGCTCACTGTGACTTGTGCAGGAAGGACTCTCAGAAGGCCAAGCGTTCCAGTGCCCACGTGTCAGCACCCCTGGGTGAGGGCAGGGATGCCAGCTCCGGTGACAGCAACAGCTAAGTCTCTGTCAGAAGCCAGGGAGAGGCAGGTGGGAGGATGTGGGCAGGGAGCAGGGCACTGTGGGTAAGCTGATGTGGGGTAGGGTGAGGGGAAAGTCAGACTGGTGGATTTCACACTAAAGTCTCAAGACCTCTTGTATCAGCTTTGCTACTCACATGTAGATCACAAAGAGCACAGCCTAAGGCCCGAGAGGAAGTTAATATGTCCCCTAAGGTGCAGGATGCTTGGCTGAATCAGAAATGATATTTGGGACAACTTGTCCTAAAAATGCTGACCAGGCACAGTGATGGTTGAAGCAAAGCTTACTATTTCAGAGAGTTTCCTGTGTGAAAACAGCATAACTGGAGGATGCATTAAAAGAACAACCTCTTCTCCACTAAAGGAAAGCCCACGTTATTTCCTCTTCACCCCAGATGAGAACCTGAGATGGGCAGGCAGGCACGCGTGGCCACCCGGAGAAGCAGAAGGGGACAAAGCCTCACGGGTGGCCCCTCGCTGTGAAGCTGAGCGGAAACTTACAGTGCGGCTTCCTTTTCCTTCAGCTCCCTGGCTCTTTCAAGTTCTTCTGAATTTTCATGAGCATTTCCTAAGATGGTCTTACTTCTCCGCATAAGGACAGAAAAATAATCGCAATTAGTTTTTTTTTTTTTAATGGCAACATTGTTAACAGCTTTGGTACAATTATATCTCAATGTTTTTTTACCCAAAAGAAATAAGCACCAGCGATTGTCACTGAGGATATACATGGTTCTCTCCTAGGTCATCCAGTACATTGATTCTTTCCCAAGGAATCCAATGGAGAACCTGACTTTCCTAAAACCTCTACCTAGGTGTCACTGGCTAAGACACCAATCAATTTGCCCACCCTTCCTAACCTCCCCAAGTGAAAAACAGGTGACTTAGCATAAACGTTTCTCCTACTACAATCCCTGCACTTTCTGGTCAGGTTGGCATCTCATTTATCTAAGAACCAGGCCCTAATCACCCTTCATCCACCAGAACAATTCCTCACCACCCAGGATTCCTCTGCCACTTCCTAACAGATGAGGTACCCTTGTTCCCTCTCCCCTTCAAGTGTCCCTACTCTTTCCCATGTGAACAGGATAAAGCCTGGCATACAGTGCATGCGCACTAAATGCTGAATTAATAAGTTGCATGGCTATGGAATCTTGAGTGCTACATCTGACTTTATTATACAGTAATTATACTATTCACATAACAAAATACTTACATAAATAAACCTAAATATCAAGAGAAAAACAGTGTTTTTTCAAATCATGGATTGTAACCTGTTACTGAACTGTGAAATCAATTTAGTGAGCTGCAGTCAGCAACTTTTTAACGAAACTGAAGAACAACATCAGAATCACATAAATAAACATATGGTTTTCTGCATTTTTTACTTCTGTTTTACACACACATACAATGTACATATAAGAATGCGTGAACCATGGGTCATCATCTAAGATGTCTGGAGCCACTGCTCTATAAGAGAAGCAGTTAGCATGACCCAGAATCAATTCCACAGCCCTGGGCAGCCAATAATTCAACAGTCCTCCAAAGAATGTCAGATTTCAAATTAAAATAAATAAATAAAAATTTTAAAAAGTATGTTTATAAAAGACCCTGCCTTCAGCCTTTGAGAATAATTTCATAAACTGAGGGGATAATGAAAATGATGGTGTATATCAAGATCAGTTACAGTGAATTTTGAGTGAACTGAAAACCTAGGCTTGACAGTTCCACTTGCATTCAACCCAAGCAATGGAGCCGCGAAGTTCTCGTTCAGCCGCATGCGGTAATCAAACGTGAAGCAAGCAGAATGGGAAAACCCAGGTTAGGGATGAAGCAGTTCTAACTCCTTTGGGTCTGAGTGAGAACCATTCTTCACTGGCAGTTTCTAGGACGCAGGATGAGAAAAACACAGCAAGCCCCGCCCCGCAGCCCTACCCACAGGGGAAGCATGAGCAAGACCGTGGTTACTTTCTATCCATGTCTGATGCCGCTGCATAGTGCAGAGCTGTCCGACCCCAGTCGTCTGTTTCATTAACGTTGGCCCCTGTGGTCACTAACGTCTCAATACAGTGGAAATGACAATTCGCAGCTGCATAGTGCAAAGGGGTCCTGAAAAACAAGCAGTAATTTATTACTTCACTCAGCTGGGAAAGCAGACCTGTCATCAGCATTAGCAGTGGCAGCGACACTCCTAGGGGCATGCAAAGCTCTTCAGGTTTGTATACCTTAAATAAAAGGTTTCTGGGGGAAAAAAAGAAGTTAAGTAGCTGTTTGGGATGTCTGCATCTCCTACTGGAGTGTCTGATTTGAGTCAATCCAACCTCCTGACAGTGTGCACCCTGGGAGATAGCAGATGATGGCTCAAGTGCCCGGGGCTTTGCCACCCTTGTGGGAAACTGGATATAGATCCTGGCTCCTGGCTTTAGCCTGGTCCAGTCTGGGCTGTTATGGGCATTTGGAGAGTAGACCAGTGGATGGAAGATACCTTTCTACATTTCTGTCTCTGTCTCCTGCACCTTTCAGATAAAATTAAAATTAATGGCCGGTGCCACGGCTCACTAGGCTTATCCTCCGCCTGTAGCACCGGCACCCCGGGTTCTAGTTCCGGTCGGGGAGCCGGGATTCTGTCCCGGTTGCTCCTCTTCCAGGCCAGCTCTCTGCTGTGGCCAGGAAGGCAGTGGAGGATGGCCCAAGTGCTTGGGCCCTGCACCTGCATTGGAGACCAGGAGAAGCACCTGGCTCCTGGCTTTGGATCAGCGTGGTGCGCCGACCGCAGCCACTGTTGGGGGGTGAACCAATGGTAAAGGAAGACCTTTCTCTCTGTCTCTCTGTCTCTCTGTCTCTCTCTCACTGTCCACACTGCCTGTTGAAAAAAAAAATTAAAATTAATAATCATTTTTTTTAAAAAAGCTCTTCAGTTCTCAGAATGTGTGGAGGTCAAGGGAGGCAGCTTTGATTATAAATTAGAACTGAAGCTACAAAGACCAGGCCAGCCACCTCAGATCTATCCTTCCTTTCCATTCTAGGGTCTGTCCTGCTCAGGTCTACATTCCTGCATTTTCGGACCACTGCAAGGCCAGCCCCATTAAGACTATCTTTAAGCTCTAATCAAGCTTCCATCTAATTTCCAGCTGGTATGGATAAAGACCTTGGTTTGTCCTGCGGTACAATAACTACATAAGACCATTCTGTTCTAAACTTTTGGTCCTCTTCACTGAAAAGAGGCTTCATTCCTGAGTCTGGAAATGAAGACCTTTCCAAGCTGGTCCCTCTCTCCTTTTACAGAATCAGTCAATCTCTGTGTCTGTCTGTCTGTCTCTGTCTCTCTGTCTCCCAGATATGTGCCCATTAGCGTATCCAAGCTGGAATGACTTGATGTTCTCCAGCTCATGCGCATGCTCCCCTCCACCTCTGCCTATATTGGTTTCTTCCTGAGAATGCCCTTTCTGGAACCACTTCCACCCAGCCGAAACCCCACTCATCCTTCACATTCCAAAACTCAGCTCTCTTTCTTTCTTTGTCTGGGTCTCTCTGGAGCTCTCGTCACATACTGCCTTGACTTCAGCTATCAGTGTATTTCTAGATTAGAGGGAAGAACAATACACAGAATCAGAAGACCCAGGTTCTAGTCTGGGCAGATTTGCAAGGTGGAACAAATCACTTCCTTTCTCTAGGCCTAGGCTTCCTCAGCCTTATTTCAATGAGCTTTGAGCAGCTGTCTCCTAAGATCCTTTCTAGATCTAAAATTCTATGTACATGTGAAAACCAATTAGCTTTCCTGGGCTTAGATTTTTCATGTATTAAAAAGGATAACAGGCATCCCCATTATTTCAAAAAGCTGCCCTGAGAAGCCAAGGAAGGCAATATTCAGAAGAGACAAACACTTTACAAAAAGCAAGACTGTCAAAATAGGAAACATTTTTTGTATGACTTATTTTTATTTCTCAATTATTCTGGTGTTAGTAACCAATATCCACAGAATAACAATCAAACAGAATACTAGAGAAGAAGGTAACCTTATTTCAAGCATTATTTATCAATTTTCATTTTGACTGCTTTACATTTTGTAGTCAACTTATAGGCTCTCCTACTAGTTTACTTTCTCCTCTTTTGTCCAAAAGAAGGAAATTATAAGGTTTTTAAATATTGGATTGTTTATGTTTTAATTTACTGGACTGAATATTAATAGATATCTACATGACAGGGCCCAAAGATGCAGGTAAAATGATACCACCCTTGTCCTTTGGAGGCCCACAGTGAAGAGGGGAGAGAGACAAGAAGACAGAGTCCTCAGAGACAGTGTGATGTGAGCTGCAGTCTTGGAGGATGTGGGATCTTGGGGGGCAGAGAAGAGGGGCACACACACGAGTGGCCAGGAGGTGTCACCCGACACAAATCGGGAAGATGCACAGATGTGGCCTTAGGGAGGTTGGGAAGAGAAAAAATTTGTAGCAACCCTAAAGAGTTAGGATGTATGTAGAAAGGAGGGATAGAGAGATAGCATGAAAAAAATAAATGCCGAATGATAGGGACAGGTTCTGAGAAACGTGTTGCTAGGTGGTGTTTTAATTGTGAAAATATCAAATGTACACAAATCTAGATGGTATAGCCTGCTACATACGTATAGTGTACAGGCCCATCATCATATATGCTGTTAATCATTGAACAAAACATCAATGAGTGGTATATAACTCGTGTGTGTGTGTGTGTGTGTGTGCGCGCGTGCGCATGCACACGTAAACCATATCCAGACAGCACCACAGCACAGCTGAGCTAAATAAAGGATCATGAAGGTAAATACGTTCTACGATCCATGATGGTGTATGTGTGTGTTTAACGTCTAAAATTTAACCCAAGGTTCTGGTTAGGAGGGCTGAAGTGTCCTACTCTGTGAAAAAGAGAATTTTATAAATGACACCCATGTAGGAGTTTTGTTTTTTAATTAAAAGAATAGAGACAAATGGCACATCTAAGTGGAGGCTCTGAGAGAAAATGTTTCCCTTGTGTCTTGTGCTTGCTTTATAGGCCTTTGCAAATTCAGGAAGAAATTTCCTTCTGAGAACAGAATCCCTCAGCCAGCTTCCCTGCTTCCAATTGCAACAACACATGATTTCTGAATGTACGACTCCCATCCGGAAATCACGGACGACGCTGGAAGCGCAAGTCCCAGCCTACATACCTGCCACACTTGTCCTTCTTCTGGAAATCTGCTCCACTGCTCTGCAAGAGTTTTATACATTCCACATTACTGGAAAGACAAGGAAAACCCCATTAAAATGGGACATCACGTTGACTGGGCTATCTTCAAAAAGGCTGCTTTCTGTAGGGTTGCAGGTAAGATCAAGTGACAACTCCAGGTTTAGAAGTCTGCTAAGAAAACATAACCTGAATACATCACAGTCATAGTATAAGGAGCTAAAAAGTTCCTTTCTCAAAGCTAATGACAATAAAGTAAAGAACTTTTAATTTCATGACTAAGAAATTTAATGATGGGGCTGGCACTGTGGTGTAGCAGGTAAAGCTGATACCAGCAAAGCTGGCATCCCATTTAGGAGCCAATTTGAGTCCTGCTTGCTCCACATCTAATCCAGCTCCCTGCTAATGTGCCTGGGAAAGCAGGGGAAGATGGTCCAAGTCCTTGGGACCCATGTGGGAGACTGGGAAGAAACTTCTGTCTTCTGGTTTTAGACTGTGCCAGCTCCAGCCATCGTGGCTATTTGGGGAGTGAACCAGTGGTTGGAAGATCTCTCTTTCTCTGTCCCCCCCGTCACCCCATAAACTCTGCCTTTCAAATAAATAAATCTTAAAAAAGAGAAATTTAATGAGTGTTACATGATTAAACCTTCAACGATGTTTTCATCATTTATTCTAAAATTCTTTTTCAAAACCATCAAGAAATAATCACTATGTATATAATAATTTATGTAACCTTTAAACAATGATCCAGAGTGGAAAAGAACTACCTTTGATCACTGCAGAAATAATTCATCATGATAATCACTTTCAACCTTGGTACTCCTTAAAGGAAAATAAAATTGCTACAGTTCCCTGTCTGTAAAATACAGATAAATAGACGTGCAGAACCAAGGCTGAAAATGACGTCATGGAGCATAGTGATCTTCCAAAGCTGCCTTGTCATTTGTAGAAACAATACATCATGTTTACTAGAGAGAAAAGGACCCGTTGAAATAAATTTGCCTCTTCAAGGACAAGTAACTAAATATTTATTTGAACAGGAGTTTCAGAAGAAAACCAGAGTGGTATGTTGCTACTTCCTGGATAGATCTGATATTTTTTAAAATGTGGGACTACATAGAGAAAACATCCTTCACTGTTCTAAACTTGGGATGCTGAGAAGTAGCCTAGAATTTATTTTTATTCCAATTTTAAATTTAAAAAATCTCATTAAGACGAAGCTTCCTACTCAACATTTATCCCTGTAGTCACCTTTCTCAGAGAATTATTGCTGTAAGAATTTTACTGACAAGTGTATGTTGGTGTAGCACGCCAGGTGACACAAAGTACCTGTCTATTTCTGAATGATGCCAATGCAGATCCAAGATGTGTGGCTCATGAAGCTCAGATATTTGGGGGGCTGGAGTGATGGAAAGGGTTTTACTCTCTAAAAAATTAAAAATTATGAATACAAAAGTAAGTATAAGACTTCAGCAGAGACCCATGTAAATAAGGGACCCTAAAGCCTCACAGTTAATCCACCTCTGTGGTGGTACTACAGCACTGCTGCTCCTTAAGGGTCAGGCAACTGGCTAAGGACCAATAACTCACTCCAACAAAATCATCCAAGAGACACCAATGGTCAATGTGTGACTATGCATCAATCATACACTGACCAGAGCTTTAATCTAATCATCGATAGCTGATGCAACATTTTCTTTATAACTAAGAAAAAATAAAGGAAAAAGAATGAGGCAAGGATTAAATCAGTTCATGCCTTTCCTTTGTTTTTTTTTTTTTTAACCTTTGTTCAGATTTAATTATTATAAAGATTCAAAAAATCAATTTTGAAACAAGGACAAACATCTTTATAAATGAACATGAACTAATTCAGTCTTGGATTCCCTTGATCATCATGTACCAACCAGCAGCAAAACAGGAAGAACAACAAATTTCAAATTGTTTTCATTTGGTTTATGGAGTCCAGTAGATACATATTCTGTAGACTGTAAGGGCGAGAGAAAAAGAAGAAAACAAAAGAAAAACTATTTGCTATATGAGGTGGGCTAACATATTTTCTTTGGAAGACCAAAATGCAATTATTCTGGAAATACAACATAGTGATATTTGATCTTTGGTAGAAATGATTCTTTCTGATTTTACTTAGGAAATTGTCTTTGGTTCACAGACAACGTAGGTCAATTAAGACATATTAGTAAGTCATGAAACAACTGAAATTGCCAGCTACTCACCCTCCTGCAGCAGCAGCATGAAGGCACGTTCTTCCAAATTTATCTGGGGTATCTATTTCAAAGCCTGCAGACAGCACGTGCTCATTACTAAACAAGGACACTATGCTATACTTTTGTCCTAGTTAAACCACAAGAAACATTGCAGAGACAGAAAAATCAGTTAGTAGAAAAACCAGAACGCAAGCAATTGTAGTCAGAAAGAGGTTGTCATGGAAACGAACGGAAACTGCTCAAGCTTGGCAATTTTATAGGAAGAACCATGAACTCAAGAAGGATTTATTTTCCTATTCAGCCCTGGATGAAGCACAAGCCCACTGTTCAATCCCGGGATAGAAATTTATGAAACCAATTTGAGATAAGTAGGGCAACAGGCAGGCAGAGAGAACACATGGAGACAACGTGGAAGGAAAAGGCATCACCCTAACATGCTGGGGTAGATATTTCCTTCAGTGTATCCCAATCTTCCAGCTGGTTTAAGATTTGGGAAACATGCTTTCATGCAGATTATTTTCAAGCATGCTAAGAGCAGGGACAGCAGAATCATCCCTAGGTAAAGTATCAAAGGGGGAAAAACAGCCTCTGGGCTACCTGACGAATTAATTAATAAATAATCTTTGCCTTACAGGCATCTATCACTTTGGAAAGCCCAAGGAACTTCTTAATATATATATGGAGGCTGAAAAAAGTGGTGATAAGAAAGAATAGCAAAGCCCTACACCAGAGAGAATCCCTTGGTCTCAAGGAATTCTTCACATTAAAAAAATAAATATTAAACCTAGTTGGACAGGCTCAGCCACAGTGAATTTTTTCCATGTCCAGGGAGAGAGAAAGTAACATGGCATTTTCTACCAGGAAAATGTAGAGGATTTGGCCTTTTCTCTTTGTTGAAAAATATTGTGGTAAGCCACCATTTAAAGCCTCAAAGATGACTGCTTTCAGGACTTAACTTCTCTAAGCCCTGGCCATCCCTACCTGTCTCACCCTGGATCCCCCAAGATTTAACTTGAAAATCAGACAAGATTCTGAAATCCAAACGGCTTCAACCCAAGGATGGCGGGCAGCTATCACAGGCAGTTAGCTGTGGGACACGCCCCATGCCGCCCCGTCAGACAGTAACACAGAGCAGAGGCAGCCACTCGCTCCGACCGGACACCTGCAGCCATGTGACTCATGGACAGGACACACTAAGCCTCATCCCCGGAACAGACGTACTTACCTGACGATAACAACTTCCTGCAGCAGTCAGAGTGAGCATTTAGGGCAGCTAAATGTAAAGGGAACATGCTATGGATTCCACATCTGGGGATGAAAAACAAAACAAAACCAGAGTAGCTCACGGTAACAGATCTCAGGATACATACAAGAGGACAATTGCCTTTCTAGAAGTTCTCTGATGAAAATGAAGGATACCCCACATAGGGACTCTTGGCTGAAATGATTTTGTAATTCTTCCAGTCAATAAACAATAATGCAATCATTTTCAACCTTAAAATAAAATCTTAGAGCTAAATCAGAATTAAAAGGCATAACCCTAGGCATGTATTTTTTTAAAGAAAAATCTATTTCACATAACCAGGACTCTTTAAAATTTATTCCCCTCTATTTTACTTTGTTTATCAACTGTGCATCTCATTCATTCATGCAGTCACTTATTCACGCATCTAGGCAACACTTTCTAACCAGACTCTATGCTAAGCCCCAGAAATTCCCATGCTGAGCACGACAAACTGTCATATTGGAAAAGCAACCGGTTTCATTCCTTGATTTGATAAACAAATACTTAAAATGGGCCTACTATGTGCCAAGCACTTTACTAAGACTTAACAATGGTTATATTTTTTAAAATAAAATTTTGGATGAGAATAAAAATTGTTAGGGATGGATTGTAGCACAATGGGCTAAGCTGCCACTGTGACACCAGCATCACATATGAGTGCCAGTTTGATTCCTGGCTGCTCTATTTCAGATCCAGCTCCCTGCTAATGCACCTGGGAAAGCAGCAGCAAATGGCCCAAGTACTTGAGTTCCTGCTGCGCATGAGGGAGACATGGATGGAGTTCTGGACTTGTAGCTTCAAGATGGACCAGCCCCAGCTATGTTGGCCATTTGGGGGAGTGAACCAGTAGATGGAAGATCTCTCTTTCCCTCTCTCTCTGTCTCTCCCTCTGTCTTTCAAATAAATAAATCTTCAAAAAAAAAAAAAAAAAAAAGAAAACCTAACATTTACCTTTTGCAGGTGAGATGTCATCTTCCTAATAGACTTTTATGTTGCACATTAACACACATTACAACACCAGTCACAAAAACACAGGTAGAAGTAATAAACATTACTTTGCATACATTTTATAAACCTAGAATAGCATATGTCCCTAACAGTATTATGGGAAGAATCTAGAGGAGGACATCTTGAGCCGACCCCACCCCCAACCACAATGCAGTCTCAGGGGACAGGCAGTCTTCTGATGGCAGCACTTTCGGCCTTCAGAGAGAAACCCTCCTTGTTTCCCCATCCCTCTCCTGGAACAAGGACCCAAGAGCGTGTGCAGAATTTATGTTCATAACAAACAGCATCATTGAGTGATTCCTGTATGTGTCTAACCATTTAGAATGTTAGTGATCATTTCTGATAACATCACATTGGAATCAAATAATACAGCTCAGATTCCAAAAATCCTCTCTGCGTAACACAAACAAGTATGGGACTCCAGTTATACTCTGCAGCATTAACTGCCTAAGCTTCTTCTCTGGCACAAAGTGGCCTGTTTCAGATTCCATGCTTCATAAAGAAACGTATATGATTTGAATTCACGGGATACATGAAATGTGTAAACTATCTCAGAAGTGATTATGCTGAATACGTGAATGTGAATGTGTGGATGTTTATACATAGTCACATATTTCCTGGTGTTCATGTTTTTGTAAAATCCAAGTTGGTCAGCGATCAGCCACCACTCTCTTTCCATAAGTTCTTTGTGTTTATTGGTGGTTTTGTTCAGCCTTCCCTCTGTTGGTTTTCTTGCCCTATATGGAGATTTCCCTCGCAGTGTATATAATAGCTAGCATCCATCAAGAGATGCAATTTGCCCGTCTTCCGGGCAGTGTCGTGTGGAGAACTGCTTGTAATTGCCTCTCTCATCATTTACAAAAAAAAAATCTGAAAAGCAATTACATCAGTGACGACCTTGACACTCATGAAAGGAAGAGGGGGCCGGGGGCTGGGAGAGAAGCTGTTCTATTTATACTATTAGTCATATTGTTCCCTCTTGATGTGAAAGAAATATGCTATTTAAAAAAAAATGTATCAAAACTCCTATGTGCACTTTTAAGCTATTGTGATTTTATCTAACCATTTTAAATACATATATACACACATATATGTGTGTCTCTATACATACAACATCTATTTTATAAGGATACATAAAATATGTTCTATGTAAAATAATGCAAGCAAATTAATTAGAGAAAATAGCATCAAACTCTATATGAAAACAACTGAAAAAAAACAAAATGTGTGATAGGATAACTGTAATAATACTGTAACACATGTATCCCAATAATGTATTCACTGTCAATACTTCTAATCAACCTTACCATTAACACCCCCATTTTTAGATAATTCAACACAATTTACATGAACTAATTATTTCATTTTTTCACTGCTAATTATAAACCACAGAAGAGAGAACTCTTCTAATTCACAATGTCTAATAAAATTGCTTGATATATTTTTAATTCCATGGTCAATGAAAGGTTATCATCTCAGTGTGGATTCTGAAAGTGCACTCCTGTAAAATCAAGGACTATTGGTCTTTGAACTTGAGTATGATACTCTATGGTTCAAACAGTAAAAATAAATATCAAGTCAGAATTGAAAAGAAAAGCAGAATCCAGAATCTTGGAATCATTACAGGAATGATTTGTGCATTTCAAAAAATTACTCTTACGGCCGGCGCTGCGGCTCACTAGGCTAATCCTCCGCCTAGCGGCGCCGGCACACCGGGTTCTAGTCCCGGTCGGGGCGCCGGATTCTGTCCCGGTTGCCCCTCTTCCAGGCCAGCTCTCTGCTGTGGCCAGGGAGTGCAGTGGAGGATGGCCCAGGTGCCTGGGCCCTGCACCCCATGGGAGACCAGGAAAAGCACCTGGCTCCTGGCTCCTGCCATCGGATCAGCGTGGTGCGCCGGCCGCAGCGCGCTGGCCGCGGCAGCCATTGGAGAGTGAACCAATGGCAAAGGAAGACCTTTCTCTCTGTCTCTCTCTCTCACTGTCCACTCTGCCTGTCAAAAAAAAAAAAAAATTACTCTTACTATTTTTTATTGTTATGAAATAAGACTGCTTAGAAAGAAAGGATTACGCCTTTAGCAGGAAAGTTACGAATTGGCTGGCTGAATCGAAGAAGAGCATCATTCTTATTTCATCAGATATACAGCAAGGAAGATAAGAATAAAGATGCCAAGTAACCTCAAGCTAACAACATATAAATAACAGGAAGAAGAGCAATTCCAGTTAGACTGTCACATTTCTTTGACCAGTCATTAGCTTAATGGAACACATTCGTATTAGCTGTTGCTAATTCAGCTGTTAGCTGGCATCGCCTACCCAGTTATTGCAGAATAAATGTCTGAAAGACTGCCCTTGTGAGCTACCGGAGGTGAAGAGAGGGTCTTTGCATCACTGCACTATCAGTTCTTTCAGGCTTTCCCCTGGCATCTGGAAGACATGGCCACCCTTTCCTATACCCAGTCTTTTCTAGAGCTTTCCCTTCGGGCTGTGTGGTAAGGACACTGTGATTAAGATAATGGGGTCAGAGACATTGGGACCCAGTCGTACTTTTCCCACCTGCTAGCTATTTGATCTTTGGCAAGTACATAATGGTTCCCTCCTCTAGAAAATAAAGGTAATTTTAGTGTACATATCAGAGAGCAACTGTGAGGTCTCATTGAGATAATGGATGCAAAGTGCTAAACAGTGCACATGGCACTTGGTAAGCTTTTACCATACATGTTAGTGTCATTATTATTAGCCTTGCAATTATTATTAGTTTAGTAAGCATCAATCTGTGAGTTTTTGATGTTATAATTAGATTATGCTTCCTTAAAATCAGGAATGTGGGGGCAGCGCTGTGGCATAGCGGGTTAAGCCACCGCCTGCAGTGCCTGCATCCCATGTAGCCACCAGTTCTAGTCCTGGCTGCTCCACTTCTGATCCAGCTCTCTGCTATGGCCTGGGAAAGCAGTAGAAGATGGCCCAAGTCCTTGGGCTTCTGCACCCACGTGGGAGACTCAGAAGAAACTCCTGGCTCCTAGCTTTGTATTGGCACAGCTCCGGCCACTGCAGCCAATTGGGGAGTGAACCAACAGATGGAAGACCTCTCTCTCTGCCTCTCCTCTCTATGTAACTCCGACTTTCAAACAAATAAATTAATCTTTTTAAAAAAAAATCAGGAATGAAATTTCTTAAACACCAAAAATGAGTTGTGATCAGCTAGCATTTCTTTATTTTCCCATGTCCTTTACAGTAATAGCTTTCTCATAACTCTCCAAGGGTCGTGGACTAGTTTAGTTATGCCTCCTGAATAGGAAAGACAAAAACATTTCTATAATTTAGAATGGAATGATTTTTATGATTCTTATCTGAATTATTAGCCCAAATTAAAAAACCCATTTCTTAAAGATTTTTGTCTATGCCATTTGTTACATACCCCTAAGTTACAGGCATTTGTGTACAACTGACAACCATGAGACCAGATCCGTGCTATCTGCAACTCACAAACATTTCCAGTGGTTTCTTTTGAATCAAGTTCAAATACTGCAAGGCAGTTTGAAAGGCTCCTTCCAGTTCTGGCCGTTGCCTAATGAGCGTATACTGTAGCAATGCTCAACTTCGCCCCAGGCTCTGTCCTGCCCCTAGGCTTTCGTACATGCAATCTCTGCACCTGCCCCTCTCTTATCCTTCTCCCCTGCTGCCCAAAACAGTTCTTGACTCAGTCAGTGCATTCCTTGCTGTCACTGGAAATACCTTTGAGCTCTCAAGAGTTCTCTGTGAAAATTTTTCAACTCTCTTTGCTTTTCAATGATATGATACCCTAAAATAATCGGTATGAAGGTATATTTTGGATTATCAGAATGAGCCTTTACACCCCTTAAGCCCCTGCCAAATTTTAGTAGCCTTGTTTGTATTCGGGTTCACAATATTGCTCGTGTAGTACTGGAATAGGCCAACAGGAAAAGAAGAAAGATGGACTTAATAGAGAAATGATAGGTATGAGCCTGGAGAAGGCCAATGATGATGCAGTATGAAGTAGTTTGTATGGAGTAGTTTGAATGAGGTCTCTGCACTGTGTCAAGTCCACTGCCCTACCTCTCTGTGGAGCCATGCAGAACCTGCTTTCTCGTGTTTTACATTGAACTCTACAGACAGCACTTTCACTGACAGGACCATAATCTTATGCAAATGGAGAACTACCTTGGGCAAATTATGAAATGTACATCATCCGTTATGTAGAGGGCAGCAAGCCACCTGCTCAAGAGCTGGGGCTCAGACGTGGGAAGTCTCACTTGCGCCCCTCACTAGTTCTGTGGCCCCAGGCAGGCAGCTGACCTTTCTGTGCCTCATTGATTCATCTGTAAGACAGGGATATCACAGTCCTTACCCTGTTGGGTTGCTGTGAAAGTTAAATGCAACCCTTCAGAGCAGTGCCTAGCACAGGTATGCATTCATGAGTATTGGCTACTACTGTTAAACTGCAGTTTACGTAAACATTGTTGGTTTCTGTTTGCATGTACTTTTTAAAATGTACTGATACGTTACTGTTAAAATCATAAAAAGTTTATAAACCTGGGCCTATGTTTATATATATTCAAGGAATAATATAATAAAAATAAATCTATAACGAGGATGCATGACTCTCAGAACTATGACCTAACTAACTGCCACTCGCTCTTTGGTCTTGGTTAACCATGGCTTCTTTTAGGTCTTCCCTGGCCTTGCCGGAAGAGTTCAATATCCCAGACATGTTTCATCATATCCCATAGCACCCAGAAATTGCTCTGGTATCACATTAGCATACAGAATTGTAACTGCTTATTTAATTCTGGCCCTCAGTAGGTTATAAATTCCCTGCAGGCAGGGACCTGGACTACCCCAGAACCTGGCACCCTGGGTGACATTTTACAGGCCCTTGATAAATATTTAACAAGTGCATGAATGTCAGAGCCTGTTATCTGCATAACTAGAATATTTCTAACGCTGTTGCAGTTGAGGCAGGGAAAAAAAAACTGTGTGCATAATTGGTAAGGTAGAAAGTAGATGAAAATCCTAAAGACAAATATCACAAACCTAACAAAGAAAAATCAAAGTGCTCTCAACTTAAGTTCAGAGAAGCAGAAAGAATAACAGAGAACATCCTCCTCATCAAAAACTCTCAATAACATTCAAAGAAATTCATGAGAAAGTAACGACAAAGCTTGTCATGTGGAGATTTTTAAAAACATTTGGTCATAATGTTTATTAATAAAGATGGGTTATTTTAATAAATGTCATGTGTTTACTTAGAGAAGGAAAGGTCCAATTTTATCCTTTTTAATAAGTTATGCTATTTAAACCTATAAGGAACCCAGAGAACAGCAATTTCCTGCAGGGCTTTTAGAAAATTTAATCTCTCTAATTCTGGTATTTCCCCCTCATGTGGTTTCCCTCCTCCCATATACACACACCCACGCAACCACAGTCACTGCAGGTGGCAGATCTTATCCCCAGATACGCTGTGACAAAAGGAAGCCCATGTGGCTTATTAAGCCTGAAACAATGATTGCTTCATCCGGATCCCTGGGCTGCAGCACCGCCAACAGAAAGAAGGGTGACTGGAACAACGAAGCCATTTCTAAGGCATATTTGCTACATGGTGTGTTTGCATAAGTTAAAATCAAAACAACTACAAGGGAATAAACTCTATACTTAATGAATTAAATGGGGCATAAGGGGAGGACTTTTTAACTGTTGGGCTCAGTTTATATTTTTACCCCTAAAATGGACTCAAGTCTGGAAGAAAATCAGAAATTTGTAGTTGTTTGACTAAAATCCCCTCTAGTAATTTAGAGTTAAAATAAAATATGACTGAAAATATCATAGGGCTGGCGCCGTGGCTCACTTGGTTAATCCTCCACCTGCGGCGTCGGCATCTCATATGGGCACTGGGTTCTAATCCCGGCTGCTCCTCTTCCAGTCCAGCTCTGTGCTGTGGCCCAGGAAGGCAGTAGAGGATGGCCCAAGTGCTTGGGCCCCTGCACCCATGTCAGAGACCAGGAAGAAGCACCTGACTCCTGGCTTCTGATCAGCGTAGCTCCGGCCATAGCGGCCATTTGGGGGGTGAACCAACGGAAGGAAGACCTTTCTCTCTGTCTCTTTCACTGTCTAACTCTATCTGTCAAATAAAAAACAAAAGTATCACTGAAACACAAGACAGGTAAAGTCGGCTTGTGCCTGGATATTTTACCTCTGCTCAGCTAACACTGAGCATTTTCCACCTCTGGCTTTGGGCAGCTCCAGCAGGGTGGACCTCCAGAACCTGGGGCAATCCTGCAGAGTCTGAGGCTAGACCCTTCCCACGAAACTGAGCTGCTTCTTTTAACTTACACAGCCCAATGAGGGAGGTCTTTCGGCTCGAAGCAGATTCTTGTCTCTCCTGAGAAGACACACACAACTGCTAGTACTATTTGTCAGCAGCACCCTCCTCTGCCAGCCCTCGGCCTCAGCCTCATCTTTTCTTTCCTGGACGTTTGCAAGAGGCTGCCAGGAATTTCCAGCCTGGACAGTCGCCAGCATGTCTGGATGGCTCTCAGAGCAATCTTTCTACACACAAATAGGATCATTAGACGCAACCTATCCCAAACCCACTAACAATTCTTTAATAGCTTCCGAGTGCCTCAGAATGGAATCCATTCCTTGGCAGGACATTTAAGGTCCCTGGAAATGCGTCTCTTCCTGCCTTTCCACCTCATTTCTTTTCACTCCCCCATCCACATCAGAAGACCCAACTTTAAGAATCTGCTTTCAACGCGTTGACATGCTTGTGTCTCCTCAATGCTGTTTACTCTTCCTGGGATGTCCTCCCTTGCTTTACTCTCTTTCTAACTTATAATTCTGTCCACCTGGCAAACACCTACCCAGATCTCCTTTTGCTGAGATGTCACATCATTTGGAGGATCCCAAAATTCAGTGTTTTTCTGGCTCTGTTCTGACAGGCTTGTCCACAAACTCCATCATAACAATCCTTAACAAGACTTCAGCCATCTCCTCTTGTTATCTTAACTACTAGACAGGGAGCCCAGAAGGTCACTGGAACTCGGTAAAACTCAATGTTGTACTGATGAAGATAAATGACTAGGAACCTGTCGGAGTGTTCCATATCACTGACTTCAGGCCCAGAATACTCGATCTCCAGTGACTCTGCTTTAAAACATGATTTCAGCACAGCTTCCCTGGGCCATTTAAATTTTGGCTCATTCTAGAGCAAGACATTCAATTCTGTTGTACAATATTTGACAGACAAGACAGAATTCCTAATATATACTTCCCTCCTATGATTCTTCTAAAAGTTTAGTTATTGGTACCCATAGTATCTGTAATCAAGGCTAAATTCTTTATTCAGGCATTCAAGGCCCTCTTTACTGTGGTTCTACTACATATTGTTAAGTAATAAGACAATAGTTAACACATATTGATAGCTTTTTGTTTTAGCTACTGTTCAAAGAGATGTTAACATGTATTATCTTTTTAATAACCTTAGCAGAAATATTTATAGCTCATACTCCTACAGATCTTACCATGTACCAGAAAGCTTTACAAGTAATTAAGTCATTAAGTTCATAAGAAGTCTACGGATAGGTACTGCTAGTACTCCCTTTTTTTCAAATGAGGAAACCAAAGAACAGAGGGACTGAACCACGGGCTCACCGTCATACAGCCCACAGGTGAGGCAGCTTGGATTGGAGCTGAGCACAAGGAGTGCCCACCAAAACTTGGGCTCCGAACCACAAGATCCTGCCTCTGAGCAGGACAGAGATTTCACATCCCTCTGCTCTGACCGGCTCTCCCCTGAGGTGCACCGTTGTCCTCTTTTCTCTCCTGCTTGGGATGTCTGCCACCTTCTGCTGTGCTCTATTCTCATTTTCCAAAGCCCACATAAAGCTTACCTCCCTGAAGCCTTTTCAGAAAACATCAGGCCTCTGGGCTTGCTCCTTCCTGTCAACACTACATGGCGCATTTTGTCTACACCGAACATTCTACCCCTTAAGTCCTGTTTTCTTAAGAACTTAATGATAAACTTGCATGGTTATTCATCTTAGGTAGCCTTGGGCTTCCCCCAAAATTATGAGCTTCTTGAAAATATCACCCAGGTAAATTACTTCTGAAGTTACCCCTTAGCACCCCGCATTGTGACAGATCCATGTGTATGATTTATATATTTTTGCTGAAATGTAAAATGAAGTCAGGTCGCTCTTTCCCATGTAGTAGCAGATTTACTCAATAGTACCCTATAAGCATATCATCAAAACTGAGCAAGCACTCTGAATAAATCCCGAATTTGCCCAATTATTTTTTTCCTATCAAACTAATATTGAGCATTGGAAATAACAGAAGAATGTTATAAAACAGAGTAAGAAATAAAGTTCGTCCCTTAATTAAAACCACTAGAACAGACCTCATTCTGATGTAGGTAAAAATAAAATTGGTTCTTTGCAAATGTCATTAAGGGTCACTCAATTTATTTCAAATTTAATTTGTGTTTTGTATAATGATCCAGATCCACCTTAATCGGGACAAATGGGAACTATCTACCACATGGCAAAGTCCCTTTGGCAGAATTCCCACATGTGGCAATTATTCCACTGTATTTTTGCAGCAACCTACTTGGCTGTGTCAGCTCCGCTGGTTATTAGGGTGTTAATCAAAAGCTCATGACCGTATCTTGCAGCCACATGGAGAGGAGTGTTGCCATCCTTATCCACACAGTCAATTTCACCTCCTGCAAGAGACATTGTAATATAGGATAACACAAAAGGATTCAGGATTCAGATTCTGGGTTCTATGCTCATAACTCACGCTGAACAAATGTTGATTTGTGTGTGCATCTCTGCTCTGAAGTACAAACATGTTTTTTTAAGGGAACAAATCACCATCTGAAGCAGTGGTAGTATATCTGCATAGAAGAAAGTCTACAGAAATGCCTTTGAAAAGTCTTCGTATGCTGTCTTCTTTAAGGATCTAAAATCTACGACCAGTTTCCTCCTCTGCACGAGCAATGTAATCAAATTCCATAAGATGTAACTCCAAAGGCACAATTTTCATTTTACCTGCTGAATTAAAGACCTATGAAAATACCATGCTAAAGCATAAGAACCAAAGAGAATAGAGCATTCAGGAAAAGATTTTATGTAGTTTGATTATCTAGCTTAAAATACGGTGAGTGAAATGAGAAACATTTCATACAAACTGAAAATGCCTATATTTATAAAAGTTAGCATATTATTCACTCACAGTTCTTTTAATATAGTATTTTCATCTTGTTTTATTTTGCCTTCTTTTCCCCTAAGTTTTTCTTTCTTTCTCTCCTCTGGGCATGTGCTTTATAAGCATAGTTGGTTTGTTTACTCATTAATCTGAAGAGCTATGTAAAAATAAGTTAGACATCACATTTTCCCCCTAAGTTTGTTTCTCCTAATAACAAAAACATTCTCATAATCACAATCCTATCAACATACCCAAGAGACTGAACATTGATGTAACAATCACGTCATATACAGTTCACATTTCAGTTTTTCCAGTTGTCCCCAAAATGCACTTTATCTTTTGAAAATCTGTGATCCCATCAAATATTCTGATCTCATTTGGTTGTCCTATCTTTTTAGATTCCATAATCTAAAACAACCCCCCTTCTGTTACTTATTTTCCTAGGTCTCTCAAAGATTGATGCCAATCCAGGAGTTCTTTAGTCTACCCTGCATTCTGGAGTTGTCTGATAGCTTCTTCATTATTAGGTTCAGTCTAAACAATTTGAGAAGAGCATCCCAGAACTCAGGTGTACTTTCCACTGCATTACCTTAGGGCACTAACGGGTTGACTTTCTGCATTACTGAATGATGCAAGTTTGATTTCTTACAATGGGTACAGAGTTTCAGATTGGGAACATGGAAAATTTCTGGCCATGGAGAGTAGTTAAGTTTGTAGAATAACATGAATGTACTTACTACCACTAACTATATACTTAAAATGATCAAAATTCTAAATCTAATGTATCTTCACCACTACCAAAGGAAAAAAGAAAGATCTGTGTATCCCTGGTGGCAGCAAATGGCAGCTCAAGTACCTGGGTATCTGCCACCTTCCCACGTAGGTGACCTGAACGGAGTTCTGGACTCCTGGAGTAGGCCTGGCTCAGACCTGGCTGCTGCAGGTGTCTGAGGAATGAACCAGCTGATAGAAAATCTGTGCTTCTTTCAAATACATTGAAACAAAGTCTGATTGTTTGATTAAAGTAATGCCTGCCATCATATTCTCATGCAAAAGTGTCTTCTCCTCTTGATAATTAATGAACAATTTGTGCGATGACTCTGAGAAGGTGTGAGTATTCTATTTCCCAACAAACTTTACAGTAACGATATAAGCATTTTCTGGGGGTACTTTTTCAAAAGTGACACAAATCCTTTATTTTGTGTGCTTTCATAAGAATACCTTTTAAAAAATTGTGGGAAAACTGTTACTAAAAGATATCATTTCTTTTTTTTTTTCTTTTTCTTTTTCTTTTTGGACAGGCAGAGTGGACAGGGAGAGAGAGAGAGAGACAGAGAGAAAGGTCTTCCTTTTCCGTTGGTTCACCCTCCAATGGCTGCTGTGGCCGGCGAACCGCACCAATCCTAAGCCAGGAGCCAGGTGCCTCTCCTGGTCTCCCATGTGGGTGCAGGGCCCTAGCACTTGGGCCATCCTCCACGGCCTTCCTGGGCCACAGCAGAGAGCTGGCCTGGAAGAGGAGCAACCAGGACAGAACCTGGTATGCCAGTGCCGCAGGCGGAGAATTAGCCTAGTGACCCGCGGCGCTGGCCCTAAAAGATATCATTTCAGTATGAAAAAAATCTATGTATAGTTTATAATATGCATTTCTATGAACTTTTTGAAGGCCCTCCATATTATCAATCTGATATGTAGTTAGGGTCACTTGATTTTGTTTCCAAAACTTTATTTTTTTTTTAATTTTTTTTTTTGACAGGCAGAGTGGACAGTGAGAGACAGAGACAGAGAGAAAGGTCTTCCTTTGCCGTTAGTTCACCCTCCAATGGCCGCCACGGCTGGTGCGCCGCGGCCAGCGCACCGCGCTGATCCGATGGCAGGAGCCAGGAGCCAGGTGCTTCTCCTGGTCTCCCATGGGGTGCAGGGCCCAAGCACTTGGGCCATCCTCCACTGCACTCCCTGGCCACAGCAGAGAGCTGGCCTGGAAGAGGAGCAATCGGGACAGAATCCGGCGCCCCGACCGGGACTAGAACCCGGTGTGTGGGCGCCGCAAGGCGGAGGATTAGCCTAGTGAGCCGTGGTGCCGGCCTGTTTCCAAAACTTTGATGGAGCTTTAATTGTGTTAACTGCATTAATATGTAAAACATTTACAGGTTTCAAAAGTCTTTTTTTTTTTTTTTTTTTGACAGGCAGAGTTGGACAGTGAGAGAAAGAGCAGAGAGAGAAGTCTTCCTTTTTCCGTTGGTTAACCCCCCAAGTGGCTGCCACGGCCGGCGCACTGCGGCCAGCGTGCTGTGCCGATCCGAAGCCAGGAGCCAGGTGCCTCTTCCTGGTCTCCCATGGGGTGCAGGGGCCCAAGGACCTGGGCCATCCTCTACTGCACTCCCAGGCCACAGCAGAGAGCTGGCCTGGAAGAGGAGCACCCGGGACAGAATCCGGCGCCCCAACCGGGACTAGAACCCGGGGTGCCAGCACTGCAGGTGGAGGATTAGCCTAGTGAGCCGCGGCGCCGGCCCTCAAAAGTCATTTTTTTAAAGATTTGTTTATTTATTTGAAGGCAGAGTTACAGAGTGGCAGAGAGAGAGAGAGCTCTTCCATCTGTTGGTTCACTCCCCAGTTGGCCGCAACAGCCAGAGCTACACCAATCCAAAGCCAGGAGCCAGAAGCTTCCTCCAGGTCTCCCATGCAGGTGCAGAGGCTCAAGGACTTGGGCCATCTTCCACTGCTTTCCCAGGCCACAGCAGAGAGCTGGATTGGAAGTAGAGCAGCGTGGACTTGAACCGATGCCCATATGGGATGCCGGCACTGCAGATAGTGGCTTTACCCGCTACACCACAGTGCCGCGGCTCCCAAAAGTAATATTTTTAAAAGCTTTTCATCCTCATTCCTATCCTTTCCACTTCCTCCTCACTCACATCTATAGTAATAATCTTCATAAGTTTTAGCTTATGTTGCTAGTTAAAAAATGCTTTTTTCCTCAGGTCACAATACATTCTGGAACTCCCTCCTGGAGATCGTATCTTGAAAGTTTCTGCACTGTTTTATTGTCTTCTGTCATACACCTGTCTCCTGTGAGTGAACATTTAGGTATAAATAACATCTCATCATCAGTAGGAAAGTAGCAGTGACCACCTCACGCGCATGCTATTGTACATTTGCCAGCTGGATTAGGTCCCAGGGTCACTGGATGCGTAGTTCTGGGAGATTTTGCCACATGTCCCCTGTTGAGCACTGTGCGGTTCCCCACTCCGGCCAGCACCGAACGGCAGTGTCTTTTCCCCACGGCCCTGCCAGGCTTTTGCTTCCCTGCCGTCTGAAGGGGGAGAACTGTTATCTCAGGGCCATTTTCATTCACATTTCTCTGACTATGAAGGAGGCTGAGCCTCTTTGCATATATTGAAGGGCCATTTGTTTATCTTTTTCTGTGAGCTATTTTCCATGACTTTTGTTAATTTTTCGTGTGTGTGTGTGTGTGTGTGTGTATGGTTTATTTGAAAAGCATATTTAGAGAGAGAGAGAGAGAGAGATGGAGGGAGGGAGGGAAGAAGAAAGAGATGGAGCAGGATCTTCCATCTACTGGTTCACTCCCCAAATGAATGACTGCAATGGTCAGAGCTGGGCTAGGCCGAAGCCAGGAGCCAAGAGCCTCTTCTGAGTCTTCCTCATGGGTGCAGGGGCCCATGCACTTGGGCCATCCTCTGTTGATTTTCTAGGCACATTAGCAAGGAGCTGGATCAGAAGCACAGCAGCCGGGACTTCAACCAGCACCCATATAGGATGCTGACACTGCAGACCGGGGCCTAACCTGCTGCACCACAGCACTGGCCCCTATGCCTTCGTTTTTAATGGGTCTTAAAATATTTGGAGAATTATCTATTATTAGTAATAACATGTTACAAGTATTTTCTCCTAAGTTTTTGCTTTGTGATTTTATTGATACTGTTTTATCTTGCAAACAGGTAACAAAGGAATTGACTCATGTTTCCCATACTGGAAAGGTTTCATTTTTAAGATGTAGACATCTGGTTCATTTGAGGTTTATTTTACTTTACTTTTAAAGATTTATGTATTTGAAAGGCAGAGTGACAGAGAGGGAGAGACATATCTTCCCACAATGGCCAGAATGGGCCAGGCAAAAGCCAGGAGTCAGGACCTCCATCCTGGTCTCCCACATGAGATACAGGGGCCCGAGCACTTGGGACACCTTCCCCTGCTTCCAGGTGCATTAGCAGGGAGCTGGCTCAGAAGCAGAGCAGCTGCGTCTCAAACTGGTGCCCATATGGGATCCCAGAATCCTAAGCTGAGGCTTAACCAGCTGCATCACAATGCTGGCCACCCATTTGAGGTTGACTTTATTGATTGTGTGCTAGTTGACTGACTAAATACATGTTCCTTAAATACTTGAAACAAATAAAAATTCAAATAAATGGTCTGAGGAAACTGTAGAGACAGAAAGTAAACTCGTGGATGCCAGTGCTGGGGAGGTCGGAACAGGCAGTGACTGCAAAGGGATCTGAGGTT